CAACACTGGCATTGTTGGCCTTGTGAGTGAGGAACAGTTGTTGTTCATCTTTGTGTGCATGGATAGATTTTGATGGGGTGCTATTATGTGTACATGCTTTCAGGTGGACTTCCAGGACATTGAGGCGAGAACAGTAGCAGAGAGGACGAGGGAGGAGGAAAGACGGAGGAGAATGGAGAGGATCTACAAGGAGAAAGTAGAAGCAGCAGCTAAAGAAATGGAGGGTAAAACTACATCGTGTTGTTCCCTGCTTCTAGTTTTAATACCAATGTTTTTATTTCCATTATCAGAAACTATTAAACAGTCTCAGTGGTTTTGTTTGTATTTGGATCTTTACACAAAGTGTTATTAATGTTTGGGCATTAAGACTTTTATATTGTTTCTTATTCATTTGTTAGAGTTGCAGCAAGAAATAGAAGCAACGCTGACAGAGATGGAATCGTGCATGAGGCTGCTTTTCCCAGATTTCAGCCCCATAGACATCCAAACAGCCAACAGCAGCCCCTCCAACTCCCAGCCAGACACTAAGTGTCCTTCAGATGATGAGCAGCCCTGCTGCAGCAAAGACCTGAGGGCTGATGGCGGAGTGGGAACGGTCCAAGAAAGAGATGAGAACACAGGAAGCATGGGAATGACAGAGGGAAACAGAAAGAACTGGGAGGAGAAAGGAGAGAGGGAGAAAACAAAGAAAAGGTCTGAAGGTACAGAGGGCGAGGATGGGGAGAAGCAGGAAATGGACAGAAGGAAGGAAGCTGGAAGGAGGGAAGTCATGGAGGTGGAGCAAGAAGAAGAGAGCGAGCAGGAGGAAAGTAATACAGAAAATGAAGAAGAAGAGGCTGGTGATGAAGACTTTATCAGGAACTCTGGCCTCATATCTCACTCCTACAGTCTGGATCTGAACCTCAGTCCTGGTGCGTAGAACACACACACGTGGAAGCTTCACGGGGAAACTCCAGTGAAGAAAATAATAAATCACAGCAAAACCTTTGAACACAAACTTTACTCCCTGAAACAGCCTGTGTGCATTATTAAGATAATACATTTTATACTGTGTACCTTATAAACTGGCAGTTTAGAGTGTAGCATTCACACACTATTGAACCACTTATTTGTAGGGCTGTGTGTGCGACTGCACTCAAAGCGATGAAAAGGGTTCAGTGCTACATCCAGAAATGTGTTCGACGTTTTATCGGGCAAAGAGCAGCAGTCACAGTTTCTGCCACATCATGTCTGTGTGTCAGCATGATGTGCATGTGTGGGTAACATGTCTGACTTTGGTTGATGAACATTTTACTTTTTATCTTCCCTCTTTTGCTCGTTTTGTATCAGAGCTGAAAGCGCTCACGCTTTTATCTCAACAGGGCAAAAATAAATGCTGGTTATAAATTCTTTGAGGCCTTTGGTCTGTTTAGTGAAATGAAGACGAGGGTTTGGGAGCAGAAGAGATTTCCCGTCTGTGTAAAGCACTCGATGTGTTACGTATGATTACAGTTCAGTCGTTAACATTCAAACATGACACAGTTTTGTTTTATTAAAGCCTGTAAACATGTGACGGCACCACAAATATGTTTGACTCTAATATAACTCATGAAGGATGTTGCACTCGTGGCATTTCATATACAAATGTCTAAATAATATCACGGGGATCTTCTGAGTAGAGCAGCGGTGTCCAGGTGAATGGATCGTGCTGTTCAATGAGCATAAAGCAGACCTTTGAGAATCAAACAGGCTTCTAATAGTCCTGTTAACGTGTCGGCACAGTCAGAGGAGTGAGCGCTGTTTATCTTCCAGGTCTTCATGTGAAGGAGACGGAGGATAACGAGCCGGTGGTTTCCACGGTGATAGACCTCCATAAACTCATAACAGCCAAACATCTGCCAGCTGTGCAGGGCTGGGTTCAGGTAAGAACACACACACACACACCTCAGAGGCCAAAAGCAGAGTATTTGAGCAGCGGTTCTCCTGTGTAGTTAACTGTTTCCTTGTGTGTTTGTTATGGTCTTACATTCTTGCAAGACTCTCGACTGCCTCTCTGCTAGCGCTGCGTTAAACATGAAAATAAGCTGAGCACTTGTGTTTCCATGTAAACAGAGGGTGAGATATTATTTTAGACGTGCTTCAGTACTTTGAGAACATTGCTTCTTTTGATGTGCGTATATTCGTATCTTCTGCGTGTCTGTAAGAATATATAAGATTGTGGACTAAGAGAACGTAGTCAGCGTTTGTTCTGAGAGTTTGGAGAACGTCTGCCTCTGTCTCTGTGCGTTAACTGTGTTAAATACTGGTGTAAAT